ACTGTGTAAACAGTGGTAGAATTTATCCTTTAAAATGTTTCTGCTTTTTTTTTTAAGATTTAAAAAATGTAAGGTAGGAGTTTAAAGGGATTTCTCAGCTTCACCATATTCTGAAAATAGCTTCACAAACTTATTTGGTCTTTATTTCTATAAGTTTTCTACTTTTGAAGTTAGGCACATCTACTGACTATTCACCTGGTGTTTGTAGTAGCTATCGTTTAGCTTTATATATAAATCAGTATTCTTGGTTTATGCTTAAACTTTTTATATAGATTTTGCAAGTAAAGCAGTTTTAGAGAAGTGCTTTTGACAGCCACACAGCCTCAGGCTTCTTTTTGGCAATTCAATTTCAGGGTATATCTTTACAATTTTAATCTAAGAATTAGAATTAGGGCTAATGTACAATAATATGCTAATAGGGAATATTCAGACACTGTGGCAGTTCACATTCGATGCAGTGTGTTGGTCATTATCTACCTGTTTAAGGACTCTGGCAGAAGATTGCGAGGGATTTCAAAGCAGATAAAACCAATGAACCCAGTTCTCAGACTCCTTAGTTGAGCAAGTTCACAGAAATCAATAAAGGAATATACCTTGTCTGTCTCCTGAAGTGCCTCTCAAACTTTTCTACCCAAGTACTTCTGACTGTAGAGGCAATATGAAATGGGTACCCCAGGGGACTAGTGAAATATGATCCTGAAGTCCCTTTGAAGTCTTTTATCTTGCAAATCCATGTAAATTTTACATTCTGTTCCATAATAGATCTCTGTTTCTTTTAATGGTAAAACAATATCCAGCTCCCTTCCACACTTATAAAAAGCTTTATGCTCAGGAAGATGTACTGTGCTTATTTGGTAGTTTCAAGTCCCCCCCCCCCCCCCCCCGCAACAAACACAAAAACACACACGCACACACACACACACACACACACATTTCATTCCCACCCCTCTCACCCCTGGACCCCTCCTAATCCCAGCAGTGATTGCAAAACTAACATAACATAGCCCTTTTGATGGTCTAGTAGGCTGCACTGGTAATGGCACTTGGACCTTTGGCTGAATTTAAAAGGGGCTTTATAAATTGCTAGCCATTGATACATTATGGAGCCTTATCTCAATGACCCTCTGCTCAATCCTAACAGGAAACCTTTCTGAGCAGAGTTGGCGTATGGCTTTAGTCTAGAGCTTTTCAGGGCATGTTAGACCCTATAAAACCATCTTATTAATTTTCACTTCTGATTGGGTCAGATGTTCCTCTTTTCCCAGGGCACCCAGTTACTCTAGTCTCCAAAGCCACCCTACCCAAATAAGGTTTCCATAAAGTTGCTTGGAAATGTTAAATAATGCATGCAAAATATTAGACATAGTTCCTTACATATAGTAAGTAGTCAATAAATGTTAACTGCTATTTTAGTGTTGCAATGATCATTATTGCAGTGTGTGCCTACTGTGAGCACAGCAACACAGAACGTGAGATTTATTGGTAGCATATTCAAAATAGATGACTGACCAGTGATTTTGGATCTTGACTAGTGAACAGATATCATTTATTATAAAACTAAGAGATATGTACTACTAGCTGTACGATTAAAGAAAATGGAATGACTTAAATTCTTGAGCAAAAACACTAAAAGACAAAGCCACAAAATATGCCATTGGGTTTTGGGGTCCAGCCCCAGCAGGTCCAGGGGTTCCCAAAGGTATGGACGGAGTTGGCAAAGAAAGAATGTCACGGAGGCAGTGTTCAGTTGATCAGCATAGCGAGGTTCTCTAGCCAGGTTCTCCAGCCAGGTTCTCCAGCCAGGTTCTGTTCTTTATTCTCCTGTTACATCTGTATTTATACCAATTGATTTTAATGCTATCCACTCTATTCCAAAGGTTAGGGCGTTTGTTATCTCCATTCCAAGGTCATTACTCTATTGTTCTGCTAAGCTACAAGGAAGTAACTGAAGGAGATTATCCTAAGTAAAGATTATGTAGCTTAAGCGTGATTGTTCGTAGTTAAAGTGATTAATTACCGGCCTGGCACTTAGTTAAGGGGTTTTATTCCCTTCCTTAGTCCTGTTAATCCCTAACTCCAGGAAAAAATCCCCACCTGGGGAAACAACTTTTCTCGGAGAGGTGACCTTGGTTAAAACACATAGCATTAAGAAGGGGAGCAAACATATTAAGAATAGTATGCCATATAAGCCAGGTCCCTTGAAACATATGCTGTGCAGATGTTTCTTCCCTGCAGCGACTGTGTCAAGTAGCAAGGATGGACCGGCTTCCGGCAATTGGGAAAAGTGATTTTCACATTATTTAGCATGTGGCCAGCACATGGAATTCTATGGAGGGATAGTGCCTAGCGTAGTGTCTAGTTTGTGCTGTTTATGTATGCTGGTTGAATGACTCTGATAGGATGAGACCTCATTGTGAAGGCCTGATTGTATACATGCCTGTTTAAGTTAGACATGTGAATGTTATTTAATGGTCAGTGAGAAGCCATTTCAGAATTTTGAATAGGAAGAGGATGCATTGACTGCTTAAACTGGAAGGAACTGTGCAATGGGAGGCTTGGGAATGGATGTGGGGCAGTGTATTTGAATCTTGGAGGGATACTATAAGCACTATGAATGAGAGCCCCAATGTATTTTTCTTAAAGAAAATCACTATTTTAGGAAATCCTTGAGTGTCCAAACTATAGAATGTAGAGCTAAATTTAACATAGAGACCCTCAGATCTGACCTTCATATTATGAATGAGATCAAGTGAATTCCTCAAAGCTCTTAGTCCAGGGCTTCTGATTCCTAGTCTATTGCTCTGAAATGTATAACAACATTCAAATTGTGGGGGAAACCATGTAGCCAGCAGAGTCTTGGGCAGGATTGACCTACATATAGCTTTGTCGTTCCTGCTCCAACAAGCCTGAATATGTTTCATGTCATCTGGTTATACATTTAAAATTGTCACTTGGCCTGGCTAGTGTTGCTCAGTGGTTGAGTGTGGACTCATGAACCAGGAGATCAGTTCGATTCCCGGTCAGGGCACATGCCCAGGTTGTGGGCTCAATCGCCAGTAGGGGCGTGTAGGAGGCAGCTGATCAATGATTCTCTATCATCATTGATATTTCTCTCTTCCTCTCCTTTCCTCTCTGAAATCAATAAAAATATATTTAAAAAAATAAAATAAAATTGTACCACTTGGATATTCATGTAGGCTAACCAGCATGGAATGAAAGTAAAACTCTCAATACCACAGAGGCAAACCAGTAAAACATTTTGTCATATTTTCTCACCAATCTTTAAAAAAATACATAATTTTAAAATTAGAACTCTATTGTTTTTTTAAAAATTTACTATATCCAGACGTTGACTTATATGCTTAAACTTTGCACAAATATATCATTTTAAATGCTTATGTGTGCCGTGCCAGCACAGTCAAGGGTTCAGTGAGCCTGAGGAGGGCCAGTGAAAGATGAAAGAAAAGACAGACAAAGAGAATATAGCTGGGGCTTGGTGGATCTCCTGTGCCTGGATGAGGCCACAGAGAAGTATCCATCCAGCAAGCTGAGGCTTTATTTTATAGTCAGAGAAAAACAAGGTAGTGGTCAACATAGTTACAATGTTCTTGTGAGTTTCACTTGTTTTGGCAGCACTTACAGCACCTCCCACAGCCCATCAGCTACCCAGGAAGGATCTAGGGCAGTGATGGCGAACCTATGACACCTGTGTCAGAGGTGACACGCGAACTCATTGTTTTGGTTGATTTTTCTTTGTTAAATGGCATTTAAATATATAAAATAAATATCAAAAATATAAGTCTTTGTTTTACTATGGTTGCAAATATCAAAAAATTCTATATGTGACACGGCACCAGAGTTAAGTTAGGGTTTTTCAAAATGCTGACACGCCGAGCTCAAAAGGATCGCCATCACTGATCTAGGGGGTGGCCATAAGGTCAAGCTTAATTATGCTAAGAGGGCTCTGCCCTCTAAGCTGGGACTTGTTTGTGGCTCTGCCACAGGTCAATCCGAGGCTTAACTCTAGAGCCGCTTCCTAGCCGCTTCCTATACTTATAGTAGTATTCCATCATAAGGATGTGCCTATATATATACAGATATGTGTGTGTGTGTGTGTGTGTGTGTGTGTGTGTGTGTGTGTGGCTTTGCAACTAATTGAATGTCATTAGGAAAGGGTAAAAATAAATCAAACATGACTTAAGGGCTAAAAGCCTCAGAAATGGTGAAATGAGGAGTTTTTGCAGACTTGTGGAGAAACCTGAAAGATGACACCTGAGAATTCCTATTACATTTAAGGAACTTGTGCTGATGAGAGAGGGATTAACACAGATAAAATTGTAATTTGTAGACACTCTAAAATCTCTTATCTTAGCCAATAGTTTCAGTTGTGGCTTAAAACAACATATCTCTCTGTACTTGTAATAACAAAGTGGGTAAATCTGCATTGCACATGCTCCTCCTTTAGTTGAAAACAATTATATAGGAGAAGGATGATACTATGAACTAGGTCTTAGTTCTGTTACTGATTTACTATGTGACATTGGACAAGGCGTGTCACCTCTCTGGTTTCTGTTCTGTACAAGGATAATTAATACTGCTTTAAATGATTTTTGCAGTTCCTTCTGAACGTAGAGTCTTTGTTTTTAAATCAAAATATGACCTCTTAGGTAGAGTTGGCTACACTTTCTCAAATTTGAAAAATTAAGCAAAATGCTGATATAGTATATTCATGTAACTTTTAAGTATAGTATCTTGAAGGTGTCCCTCTATCAACTAAAGAAAAAATGTCTCCATTTAATATATGACTGCGTCAAAAAAAAAAAAAATGCAACCACAGTAGGTGATCAAAGGGATAAGTAACTTTCAGGGATTTTGAAAGCCCAGTAGTATTTAGTATTTGCTCTCTCAGCATTAAAAAGGTCACCTTGCTAATACATGTTAATTTTGAAAGTTTAATTGACCTTTGGAATTTTAATATCAACCTTTTTTGGTGTGTTTAGAGGTTGGAGCAATCACTGAAGAAACTGAAGCCTGTGATTGGTGGAGTTTGGGTGCTGTCCTCTTTGAACTTCTCACTGGCAAGGTAAGCAGTGACCTGGACGCTTAATAAGTTTACCCAGATGCTACCTTGATTTCAAATTGAGACCATTTAGCCTTTGCCTGTAATTTTTAGATCAGAGACTAGGTAAGGAAAACTTTGAGATATATATGTTCAGTAAATTTATCAAGATTTCAGATAAAAAAAAAATAGAGTTGTATTGCACTGAATAAATCGATGGTAAAATTCTGTATGTCACAATGTCAGTACACAGTAAGATACTGGTATAAGACTAAACACTTTTTCTCTTTATTTTCTATGATTCCCCTTTAAATAGAGTTAAATCTGTAAAGTTCATATCAGGATGTATTAGAATTCTTTAGATGTTTTAAACACTTTGTCTGAAATCAGGAGGGAATTCTCATTTTAAAGAAAATTAATGTAGATATAGATGGTAACCTCTTTTTTCTCAATACTATAATTTTTTCCTATCTGTTCTAGCTTTAGGACAGAATTTATGCTCTCTCTGATCAATAACTTTTAAGTAAGATATTTGAGGTTAGTAGACTTTAATAGAGTACTGTGCAGATTGCCTCCTAGGAAGAAAACAGAGGAACAGTCAGTTTTATAAGTAGTCCTCTACCTTAAATATGTAGATAAGATAGAATTCCCAAGATAGTTGTGGAATTTACAAACCACCTATACATACATTTAAACCATAATGTGCCGCATATACATATATATACATATATATATTATTAATTTTGAAGGTTTTTAATACATTAAAATTATTTAGAATTATCTAAAGTCTCTTTTTAGTTTTTATGTATAAATATAAGCTCTTCTACTTATGAGCCACTTTATAACTAAGGTAAAAGGGCTAGAAGCATAAGCTTATGATGTGATTTATCTGATTGCCTTCATTCCAGTTAGAAGTTCTATAGGCTTAGAGCCCTCGTCTTAAACTGCTTAGGTGGCACTGCTGATTACTACACCTCCAGTTAAGACTATTGCTGAGTTCTCTGCACTCACTGTCCATAAATCCTGGGTAAGAAGTGTACCTGATTGATTGTTTCAGACTCTGGTTGAGTGCCATCCAGCAGGAATAACTACTCACACTACTTTGAACATGCCAGAATGTGTCTCTGAAGAGGCTCGCTCACTCATTCAACAGGTAATTTAATTGACCTATTGGCCAAGTGTGTCAAACATGCAAATTAGCAGAGCCTGCAGCTCCAAAACCTTAAAGAAATTAATTTTGGGCAAGAAAGACCCATTACTGATTGCAAATTCAGAACTAGTACTGTGTATCTTCAGTTTTATGCTATTATCTAAGTATTGGTGAGCTTATTGGTATTAAAATTTTTTCTCTCAAAAATCTAGGCTAATATTTAGTCTGTCTGTCTGTCTATCTATCTATCTATCTATCTATCATATATAAGCCTAATATGCAAAGTGTCCCCTTGGGAATTCGACCGACTGGGAATTTGATCGCTCACTATGATGTGCGCTGACCACCAGGGGGTGGTGTGGAACCAAAGAAGGCCCCGGCCAGTGGCCAGCAGTCAGCAGCCGCTAGGGACCCTACCCATGCACGAATTTCGTGCACTGAGCATCTAGTTCTATATATTTATATAGGTGTAACTTTAAGAATTGCGTTTAGCTTGTCTGGAGCTGCTCTATTTTTGCTATTATATTTTGTAACTATTTATGAATAGCTATTTTCGATCTTTAATTCATATTTATAAACTTAGAAACGGGCTCCTCAGGTTGCATAGGGGAGATGTGGTGTTAGAAAATCTTGCCCAGTTAGATCATTCTTAGTTAGCTTCATCCATTGATGGAACTTGGGCATTGGTGTCAGTGCATTTTTTGGTGGCTTTGAAGAAAGAGACAGTTGGTAATTCAAGTTTAGTATTCCAGAGGGAGGCTTGAAACTCTGGTGAGCTTCTTAAATTGATTCCCTACATTTAAAATGCTCCTCTAGTTTTGAATAATGGATTTGGTGAGTACACTGAGGGTTGTCAGTGTTGTGGTATGATAGGCTCACAGCAAATCAGCAATAACTGCCAGGCCTGGGATCTGTACACTTTTATGAAAAACACAAAGGGAAAGGCTATTTGAAAAACATAAGAACTAAAGTTTTTGTTTAATGAAACATGAATTATTTTTTTAATCAGGGAAAATAAACTTTTTTAAAAGGGAAGGGAGGGCTAATATAACATATTAAGAAGAGAAATACCTAGTATCCTCTTGAAGAGTGACTTTGGTTCCATTCAACAAATGTAGGCAAGGCATAGTGCTCTAAGCTGTAAAGGTAAGACATAAAAAACTGTATCGCAGGTGGATGTGATAAAGGCTGCCAAATAGGTTGAAAGAATACTTTGGCAAGTGAAAATACAGAGGGGTTATTGTTGATACAGTGGTAGTATTAGGAAAATTTTGTGTAGTGGGTGTTATTTTTGTGGAGCCTTAGGTTTTCAGCATGACAAGGTGGGATGTGGAAGAAGTAGCTAGGTGGAATAAATAAAGAAAAAAGTCTGAAAGACTCAATTTGGTTTATCTACAGTGGAGGGATGAATATAGTGATGAGTGTGGAAAGATAAGTTGGGATTCTCTCATGGGGTTCTATTATCAGTATCACCTGGTAGAGTGATAGTATTTAATTTAGAAAAAAACAGGAGATTTTTGTACAGAAGAGTGAAAGAATCAGAAATATACTTCATGAAGATCCTGAAAATATAAAGCAACATAATCAGGTTGGAAATACTGAGATGGAATACCCTAAGCATTTTGCAAAAGAACTACTAGTAAGAGATAATGCAAAGATATATAAAACATTTAATTTCAATGGGAAAAGGACACTCACTTGATTTCATCTTATTTGTTGTGGCACAAAAAGATAAATTTAAAATGAGTTTTTTTGGTAAATAATTTAAAGAAGGCTAGCAACTGCCAATTTTTGTTTCTCTTCCTTAAAGAAATAGTCATTATTATACAGTGTGGGGCAAAAGTAGGTTTACAGTTCTATGGAAAATAATGCAATAATTAATAACTAATAATACAAGAATAAACTGTTTTACCTACTCATAACTATAAACCTACTTTTGCCTCACCCTGTATAACATCTAGAATAGAATTCCCCGCATTAATTTATAAAGGTCTGTTGCTCCCATTTTTATTAGAAATTATAAAGGAGTTGTAAAGGAGTCTAGGCTGAAGGTATGTTAAATCCCCAAATGCAGATACTTACCGCTTATATCGTAAATCAGCATTCTGTCATTGCCTGCCTAAGGAAACTACCACTCAGGTCAGGGAAACATCATCAGGAAAGGGAAGAGGGGTCTCTTGGCATGATTAGCCATTTGTCACTTTGACTTTCCTCTTCCACTACCTCACAGGTCATAGAGGCCATTTAAAAAAAACCCCACAAAATGATTTATATGGAAACAATTATTCTGCTTTGGGGAGATTTCCCCTCTTTGGTCTGTCACCTTCTTGCTTTCTTCCTAGCTTTCATAAAATTCATGGTTCAGTCATCTTAGTCAAGGCATTGGTACTAAAGGAAACATAGTAAATGCAGTTTTTTATAAGAAGATAGTTATATTTTACGAACCCTCAGAGCATGTATGTTTGTACTTTAGTGTACGTTTGGTTAACTATGACACAGTTGCTTTGTCAGTTGAAAGATTATCTTGGATTTGCCACTGGTTGACATATTTGCTTAAGCAATGGAATCTTTGCACGATCTCTCTTGTGGCCTGGTATAGTATTTAAAATGGCAGAATAAACAGGATAGTCATGAGTAAAACAATTATACTTTTGCCTATAGATTTATACTTGCAAATTTATAGAAGAATCCATGAACTAAGTAAATTGACTTCAGTAAAATGAAAATATGAACCTCTATTGGAATTTCATAATGAGGTCATGCTTTAGAAAGAATGAGGGTGGACAAGCCAATTGTAACAAAGAAGGAAGAATTTACATTTTCCTGAAATAGTAAAAAATATGTGATAGTCATAGTTAATTTTTACCAATATTTGATATTTTATGCTGGGCTGGTGTGGCTCAGTGGTTGAGCATTGACCTATGAACCAGGAGGTCATGGTTTGTTTCCCAGTCAGGGCACATGCACGGTTTCGGGCTTGGTCCCCAGTATGGACTGTGCAGGAGTCAGCCTATCAGTGATTCTCTCTAATCATTGATGTTTCTATCTCTCCCTCTCTCTTTCTCTCTGAAATCAATAAAAACATTTAAAAAAATATTTGGAAATTAAACAACACACCTATGACTCATATGACCTATGAATCAAAGGAAAAAATCCCAAGAGAAGCTGGAAAATGTTCTTAATGAACTAAAAGCAAATACTAATGTACAATATATAAAAATTTATAGGATGCAGCTAAAATAGGTTTTGAGGAAACTTTATGGCTTTAAACACCTATGTCAGAAAAGAAGATCTCAAGTAAAAATCTTACCTTGCACCTTAAGAAGCAGAAACTATAAAAGTACACCTAAAGCAAGCAGAAAAAAGGAAGCAGAAATCAATGAAATAGAAAAGAGAAAAATCAGAGAAAAATCAAGGTATTTACAAGTTGGTTCATTGAAAAGATCAGCAAAATTAGGAAACGTTTAGCTGATTCAAAAATGTACATGAAAAGGCAAGGGACCTAGACTATCCGAAATAATCTTTTAAGTTTTCAATTAGCAATAATCGTGCCTTGGATAAACCTCATTGGCTACGATACTGCCACTGTGCAAAGCTGCAAAATAATCTTAAAGAGAACAGAGTTGGAGGACTCATACTACCTGATTTCCAGTCAGTATAAAGCCACAGTAATTACTTACTTATTGTGTTATTAGAGCAAAGACAGGCATATAAATCAATGGAATGAAATTGAGAGTTCAGAAATAAACCCATACATGATTGTCAATTGATTTTCACTAAAGATGCCAAGATAATTTGATGCTGAAAAGGTCTTTTCAACAAACGGTGCTGGGAAAATAAAATATTCACATGTAAAACCAAAATGAACTAAGACCTTTCATATCATATGTAAAAATTAACTCAAAATAGCTCATAGACCTATGGGAGCGCAAACTATAAAAATTGTAGAAGAAAACTGGAAAATCTTCATAACCTTGGATTAGGAAAAGAGTTATTAGACATGATAATAAAAAGAAAAATCGATAACGTGGGCTTCATTAAAATAAAAAACTTTTATACTTGAAGACATTAGTAAGAAAAGGAAGAGACAAGCCACAGACTGGGAGAAAATATTTGCAAATCATATAACTGTTAGTGGACTTGTATTCAAAATGTATAAAGAACTCTTAAAAACTCAACAAGCAGACAACTCAATATAAACATGGACGAAGATTTACCAAGGAAGCTATATGAAATGCTAATAAGGACATGAAAAATACCATCACTAGTCATTAGGAAATACAAATTAAAACTATAATAAGATACCACTAATACCCACTAGAAGGGCTATAATAAAAATGATAGATGCTAGGAAGTATTGGTAAGGATGTAGAAAAACTGGTGGGAATATAAAATGGTATAATTACTTTAGAAAAGTTTGGCAGTAAAAGCTAAACATGAACTTACCACATGACTCTGGGATTGCACGTCTAGGAATGCCCGTAAGAGAAATGAAAGTCCACAAGGAGACATATACACAAATGTTAACAGCAATTGTATTCATTGGTCTCAACCTGGAAAGTCACATGTCCATTAACCTGATGACTAGATTAACAAAATGTGTTACAGCCAACAGTGGAATACTGTTCAGAAATAAAGGGAATGGATTGTTGATACCTGTTATAACATGGATGACTCTCAAAAATAGTATGCAAAGTGAAAGAAAGCAGCTGCAAAAGACAACGTATTTTATTATTCCATTTACATGAAATATCCACAAAGGCTGAGTTTACAGACAGAACACAGATCAGTGGTTGCCTAGGGCTGGGGATAGAAGTGAGGATTATCTGTAAACAGCATGAAGAAACTTTTTAGGTTGATCAAAGTGTTCTAAAACTGAATAGTAGTAATGGTTTCGCAACTCTAACTTTACTAAGAATCATTGAATTGTACATTTACAATAGGTGAATTTTATACTATATAAATTATTCCTTGGTAAAGCTGTTGAAACAAAAATTTGAGGATGTGTGACTGTCTCAAAACACATTCTTCCAGCATGCCTATGGTCTACAATAATTGTATATGACTGCTTGTATTTTCCCACACTCAACAATTCTGTTGCATATAATATTATTAACTTATACATAAATTCTAATACTGAATAAGTCAAAATACGTTTTACTCATTGGAGCAAATTATTCTATGTGAGTCAGCTATTCCAAGGAAAACATTTTGGAATACGAATTGGCCAATTCAGACTTTAGGTAAAGTTTAGACCCAGTACACGTATAATCCACTAGGGGTTGAAAGACTTACTGTGCCGCCCAACCTTTCAAATCATGAAAGGAGTAACGGACCTCTCGGAATTTGGTGCAATATCAAATTAATGTGAGTGTACTTTTGGAATTGGAAATTCACAAGTATAACTATATGAGGATGAGAGAAACAAAGTGAGCCACTCAAGGTCATGTTTCAAATCAGTTGAAGAGCCACCACTGGAGTGATGTTAGACACAGCTCCCTTTCAAGAAAAGATAGTCAGTTGGCTATTATGTTCATTTGTTGCTGGGGTTGAATTTACAAGTACTTTCCTTTCATATATTTTGCTTTCCTTTAATTTGCTCATTGGATTCCTGTTAGTCACTAAATCCTCTTTCTTAGCTCTTACAGTTCAATCCTGTGGAGCGTCTTGGTGCTGGAGTTGCTGGTGTTGAAGATATCAAATCGCACCCATTTTTTACTCCTGTGGATTGGGCAGAACTGATGAGATGAACATAATGCAGGTTATTTGCATGCATTCTGACCTTCTCTGGGCAGGCATCCCCAGCACAGAGGCAGCGCAGCCTCGGTTTCTTTGCAAGCACCAAAGCATTGAGAGGAAGTGGAGGATAAAAAGCCTAAAAGAGAACAATTCCTTACAGTTACCACATGGACAAGATATCGGTACATTGCAAGAAGCTGTACAAACCTTTAATGAAGGTGTGATCTTTTTTAAACTACACTTAGTGTTGCAGATGAGTCGTAAACCCAACTGAAAGGAATGCCCATCAAGAACTTCCTCTGGTATGAAACTCCAAGTGTACAATCAAGTGTTACTTGAAAGGAGGACCTTTACATGGCAGCTAACTACGCTTTCTGCTAACCAAGATTGGTTTATATGATCAAATTAATATTTGTTGAATAATATATAAAAAGTGCTTCATGAATAATGACATCTGTGGAGATTAAAAAGTGAGAGAAAGAAGAATATACTCATCATGTCTGATAGGAAACTTGCACCATGATGCTGTATAATTAATATATGTTGAATATGATCCCAAATTGTTTCATGCTTTCAGAAGTCCACATGGAAAGAAAACACTTCATGGGGTCAACTTTGTACATGGTTGGTTGGTACTGCTTATGGAAGGGTTCATATAAACACTCTCTTCTCTTTGACACTATCTTTCCTCTTCCCTGGCCTATTCTGTAATATTCTGTTCTTCCTACCCCTACTAATACATATGCAACAAAAAAGGGAAGAGGGAGTATTTATGTCCCCAAATTGTATCAACTTAATAAGGACTAAGAAATCATGATGTGAAATAAATGTGGTAAAAAATTAAATCTGTCTTTCATTTAATTGCATTTTTTTTTTAAAGAAAGGCTTCTCTTCCATTCATATTGAAAAGTTAGCAATTTCTCTGTCTTATGCTTGACTTCATTTTAGTTTTTGACTCGGTATACTAAGAACCAAAGGACCTCCTCTAAATGGAATTGAATGGCAATCCTATTTCATTACTTATAGTGGCAGGATTTCCAGATTTGACCTCCTAATCTACTTGACATTGTGTAGAAAGAATCTGAGTATTTGAACATCTCCAAACATTTGTATTTTTTCTTTATGTTGCTAAGATAGGTCCTGTGGTTATGCATTATTTACAACTTACAAATGTTTTAAAAGTGTTAATGCATGTTTTTTTTAAAACTTTATTCAAAGAAAAGAGAATAAGTCACTATTCCCAAGTTAGCAGTTACCAGAAATAATGAAAGCTTTCTGTATGTTTTAATCCTTTGTATTTTTGAGATATGTGTGAGAGCCCACCCCTGTTCCAAGAGCATCTGCCACCTGCCATTGGCCAGGTCCTCCCATCAAATTCAATGGAAGCAGAACATGCTTTAGTGTGAAACAAAGGAAATGTGCAAGCATTTTTCCTTCTTCTCTTATCCTACTCCCCCCTTTTCCTTTTTGGTCCCCTTATAACCTGAACCCCAGCTGAAGGGCTGCAACAACACCAGGATGGGGAACAGGTCACCAGGATCATAGCTCAATCAAGATGACATCACTCCCTGGAACTGGATTTCAACTCACCAGCCCCCTGGCCTCATAACAGGAACTCATGCAGGTGAGACACAGAATGACTTCCTGGTAGGACTAGTAGGAAATCTGCAAGTACTTAGAGCTGGCCATTACAGAGCTTCCTTCCAGAAGTGCCCTATGACATGAAAGTAGGACTTCACAACTAAGGTGAAGCTCCCAGCCCTACCACATGATTTTGGTCCCTTGGATTCAGAGGACAGTAATGTCAACAGATGGTTGCTGTGTCAGTGTGTTGACACAATTCCACTGCTTCAATTTCTGTCTTTCTCTCTGGTTGGTTGGAACGTGTGCTTAATGTAAATGCAGTATTCATAATCTGATTTAATGATGAACATTAATTATTTTAGTAATGAACACACAAGATAAATGGCTTTGGGTTGATGAACCCAAGTCTGTTTTTGTTTGATGGTGTATATTAGAAATACTAATATTTCTAAGGCTGTGGCCGATACTCCTTTTTTGTTGTTGTATTTTTTTGAGCATGTGTCATATGGGCCAAGATCATAAAAGAACTTGCCACTTAGTATTTCTCATTTGATATATTTTTTTTATTGTGGTATGGTATACATACCGTTAACCACGTTTAAGTATACAATTTAGTGGCATTAAGAACATTCACATATTTATTCAACCATCACACTATGCATCTCAGAACTTTTTAATCATCCCAAACTGAAACTTTATACCTATTAAACAATAGCTTCCCATTTTCCCTCTCGCAGCCCTTGGTAACCATCATTCTACTTTCTACCTCTATGAACTGGACTCTTCTAGGTCTCTCATATAAGCAGAATCTTACAATATTTGTTTTTCTGAGAATAATATTTTCAAGGTTCATCCGTGATATAGTATATATCAAAATTTCATTCCTTTTTGAGGCAGAATAATATTCATTGTATGTATAAACCACATTCTGTTTAACCATTTACCTGGCAATGGACATTTAGGTGTTTCTACTTTTTAACTATTGTGAACAGTGTCATTATGAACATTGATGTGCAAACATCAGTTTGAGTCCATGCTTTTATTTGATTTTATATTTTTATGTGAAATTACCAATGTTATTTACTATTATTTTACTATGCTCTTTATAAGAGAGTTTTTTCTAACAGGTTGCCAATAATATGGTATATTGTCACCTATCTTAAGATTATGATAGGAAAATCTACCATTTCTATTTCACAGCTGGGTAAGTTAAGCTAAGATTAAAAAAGAATAACATCATTTTAGCAATTTGTTTTAACTATGACACCAGTTAATACTTTTTGAGACAGATCTTTTCAACTTGTTATAACTGAACTCTCGGTAATCTATTTAAACCTGCCTTTTAAAATTTTTAAACAGCTACAATTCCTGTTGTGTTTTGACCCTCCAGCTTTTCCTACCCTATTTTATTTCAGATTAATTGTGAACCAAGTTTGAGTTTTTCTTTCAAGTAATGCTTGTACTGAAGAGTATAAAATTTATAAATAATATTCATGCTATGACCAATAACACTATATTAGGACCCCACACATAGTGTGCCCTGGTTGAAGTCACTTGCCCATAATTTATGAATCCAAACAAAGAAATCTGACTATAGTGTTGAAAGGCTCTTTGCCTCTCAAGGAGCCCCTTATAGCATCTTTGTTGGACTCACCTAGGAATTACTTTATAGCAAAGGCCAAGGCTTAAGGTGGGTCATTTTACTTCTTCGAAGTAGTTGATTTAACCTCTGGTGTATCTAAATGCTCTGGGTAACAAAGCCTGGTATTTCAGGTTCTTTTTTGAGGATTGTGGAATAGACTAACTAGACCAGTGATTCTCAACCTTCTGGCCCTTTAAAACAGTTCCTCATGTTGTGACCCCCAAAAATAAAATAATTTTCGTTGCTACTTCATAACTGTAATTTTGATACTGTTATGAATCGTAATGTAAATATCTGATATGCAGGATGGTCTTAGGCGACTCCTGTGAAAGGGTCGTTCGACCACCAAAGGGGTCGCGACCCACAGGTTGAGAACCGCAGAACTAGACTTTAACCTTAATCAAATAACAGTATTCCAGACCTGTTCCTTACCTATAGAACGAAAAGGAAGGTGAATTCCAAGCTCCACAAACATGATGGATTTTCTATTTTTCAGAGTGAACTAATTTGATAAACCAACATTGTAGAAAGACAAGGTTAATGAAAATCTTAAATTGATACTTAACTGTGTCCTTATAATTATTTTTCTAGTAATCCCAGATACTTGGGTTGCTGCCATATACCCACTCAGTAGCACAGCCCTTAGTGGTTATGTGGCTATAAAAATTATAAATAGAATGAAATAGTAAAAGGTTATTTCTAAGTCAACTCTGCACTGGAAAAGGAGAGTTGAAGGTCCAGATAGAAGTATGTGGAGGTGAAAGGAGGTTAGGACACACCTACCTTTGCCCATTTCTTAGACCTTTCTCAATAACCGTGATGGTATTTCTACCCTATTGCCCTCATCTATCATATTTTATGTGTTTGTTTGACTCAGTTCTTTGGCAGGCATAATCAGAGTACAAAATTGATACTTTCTGTTTGTATTTAATGCAGAACATTAACCTCTACCAGTCTAGGTAATTTGGACTTTTGAGGATTTGATGTCTACTCAGTTCATTTTAAGGATTTCATATTAGATCCTTATGTTGAAGGGTTACTAAATGGCAAAAGCTGTGAAGTCAGCTATTTCAAAATAAAGTTGTAAATAGAATAGCTGTAAGGAAATGGGAAGCAAAGTACTATGGGTTTCTGTGACTTGGCATCGCTTACTCTCTCAAGGACAGCAAACAGGAAACCAGAGCATAAGCTTCCTGTTGGGGAAGATTTACGATAATGGTGATGCATAGTTAGTATAGCTGTGCATTTTTTGTTCCTATCACCTGATTTCTTTCCTTGATTCAGGGATCTCATTACAGGGGAAAATTGAGGCAGAGAAAATTTGTGGAGGTGTAATAACGAAAGTTGAGTAAGGTGGTCCAGGGTAATGCACTTGTCAGGTGTGTTGGCCCAGGTGTCTTCTTTGTTGAGCTGGGTTTTTAAAAAAATGATCACATTTATTGGAGTGACATCTATATATATAAAAGGCTAATATGCTAAGTGTCCCTCTGCCCGTTCAACCGGTTTCCATGACATGCATTGACCAGCAGGGGTCAGAGACACAACGCAGGAGCTACCGTGATGCGCACTGGCCATTTACAGAGAAACGGCACCGCAGACCTGGTGCTCACAAAGCAACACTTGGATTCCTCTAAGTGGGACACAGACCCCGCCACCACCCAGAGCGATAGCCCACCAAATCACATCTGATGCTGCCATGGCACAAAATGCGGCCCACAGCCCAGCCCAGCTCTGAAGCAGTTGCTGTGGGCACTGGGTAATGACGTCACATAGCAACACCTGGCTTCCTCTCCCTAGCAACTAGCCTCCTTGGAATTTCTTCAGCCCAGGAACACGACTTGCTTTATAGCCGGGTGCAAATATTTTACACTTTAACCAAATGTTTGTGAAGCGTTTTCCCATGCCTCATCTCATTTGATCCTCACAGAAGTCCTGGAGTAGGTAGATAGGAGACTCAGTGGAATCCTATTTTGTTTTCATTAGCCAGAAAATGGAGATTTAGAAAGCTTAGAAACTTTACCTGACTGAAAAGAAGAAATGATGGACCTTAAAAATGACTTCAGGTTTTCTCACTGTGCAGAATATAGTCAAACACTGCTGCAGTTAAATATTTTACCCTTTGTTCTCCCTGTGTGATCTACAATAATAATCTGCTTCATGTTGATATTTACTGCTGTGTTGCTGACAATTATCTGAAAGAGAAGTTGGGGTGCTTCACTGGGCTGGAAAAAGTTTAGCTAAATCAGAAAGCAGGTCTAATTAAGCAAGTCTATTCTATATATATATATAAAAGGCTAAGTTGACTCGCGCATGTGTGATACATATAATGCTCTCGCTGGCGCCAATCACGCATGTGTTTCGATCTGTCATTGTGATTGTGAATTTGGTTGATACTTCTATTATAGAGAAAGGGTGAATAGCGATATTAAAGTATTCTAATTAATTTCTTTTCAGTGTGCACAAATTTGTGCACTGGGCCACTAGTTGGTTAATAAAATGATATAGGTTTCAAGTGAACAATTCTATATCATTTGTATATTGCATTGTGTGTTCACCATCCAAAGTAAAATATTTGGCACCATATATTTGACCCCTTTTACCCTTTACTATACCCCTCTC